CAGATTCTGTGGTGAGCTTTCTCTTGGGAAAATAACTAGTGTGGCTCATGAAGAATTTACTAGAAGGTAAACAGACACTTAATCAAGCTACCTCTATAGCTATACATGGCTATATTAAACTCTTTACGAAAACAGTAAGCCCCAAAATGCTATATTCAGCAAACTATATCATCACATTGTCAAGAAAAAAAATAGTGAAATACAGGTTAATAAATGCCTTCTTATACAAGGTACAGGGGGAACTAAAAATTATTCAGCTGTAGATTCTGATTTAAGAAAATGAATGCTATCCAACTATTAACATGAGTTAGAGACTTAAGAAGTAGATATTCAATACCAAGTTGTATGATCTTATCAAAGTAAAATAAGATAAAAACCCTATAGCTAAGGGACTTGATCCTCAGAGAAATAATCCAGACAATAATACAGGAATAAAGTAAACAAAGTTTGCTAAGGATATGTTTGAAATTGCTAATAACTAGAAGTGTTAGATCAAAGACATTTCATTTGAAGACATAAGCCTTATAAATGAAGAGGAAGGACCTATTCTCCTTAGTCTATAAAAAGAATTATACAGGGGAAAGTTTAGTAATTGCTTTAAGAGGAATTATAATTCACCTACTAATTTCAGGAAACACACAGTACTGGAGTTTTAAATGAACTGTAGCATGCATCATTAATACTCTGTGCCCTCATGTTATAAAAACAGGCCACAGCAATGAAAGTGATTAAACTCAGAGCATGAAGACACTACTTTAGACAAATTTCTTAATTTCCCTGGGCTTTTAATTTCTTCATGAGAGTGGCACTTCCTATCTCATAAGATTTTTGTAAGACTTAAGTACTAAATGTACCTAGTACTTTTTTTTAAAAAAATCTACAGACTTGTGCTTGTCGTCAAGTAAACAGTCCATAAATATTAGCTGCTGCTGCTGCTGCTGCTTACAGTCAGTTAGCATCGGGGGTGTAAGGACACAACACAGAGAGAGCAGAATCCTGAAGCCAAAAAAGAAAGCCTTAGAAGGCATCTTTGACTAAGGAAGTGTTAGTTTTCATTTCTCTGAAATGTCCAGTCTCTTTGGAGAAAGCGCTGCAAGCAGAGCAGCAGAAGTTTTGTTATTAGAACTCTAGAAGGCTGTCCCTGCTCTCTCTACTCTCATGCCTCTGTAGGAAAGTGGGCGAGCAGCAAAGGCAATGCGCTTGGAGAGCCACCAAGAACAGCATTAAGATCTAAACTGTGGCACTGTGCTCTGGAATACAAGCTACTGGAAGATTGTCTTGCCAGGAAAGTCTCCATTTAAAAAAAGAGGCCAAAGCCAACATGAAGACATTACCAGAAACAGCTCTATTAACCGGGGGCAGGATAGAGAACCATCATCAGTTCCTCTCAGAGCAAGCTTCAAATCTGTAGGGACTCCAAACAAAACTAACTCATTTTGCAGTATGCTAAAATGTGTTGTGTTCAGAAATAATAATAAAATGCCTTGAAACAAGTACAAACAGCAGTAGACTAGATGAAGAAACAATATGTCAAGCTATACTTCACCAACTATTAAGTCCAATTGAACCAAAATAGTTAATAACTTATCTCTGGGAACTGGAGAAATGAGTCCCTAAGTAACAGCATTTGCTGCTCTTCCAGGACTCAAGGTCAGTTCCAGTACCCAGGCCAGGTGGCTCACAATCACCTGTAACTCCAGCTGCAGAAGATACCCAACCTTCTTCTGACTTCTATAGGCACCAATATGTGCACACATACACTTACATGAAGAGAAATAAAACTTAAAAATAAGTTTTACTTCTGACCATATACATGATGAAAAAGTGAATGAGAATGACATTTGCAATTTAATGAAATAAGCCATCAAAAGAACAAAATGACGGTCTCAACAACCCTTTACAAAAAATACTTCCACTAGTTTCCTAATATCTACTCCTTGCAACTTAATTAGCAAGCCAATCACAATGACCCTGACCACAGTCTACCATCCCTACAGTGTCAATGATGTCCTCCTAAGCAATGGTCACAGCCATGGCAACTCTGGCCACTGAGGTTCAAGGAGACAGTTTCTGAGATTTTAGCAAAGAAAAATTCTGGCTCTAAAGAAAGCCATAAAAGTCAAAGTCCCCTCCACCTCCACCTGCAGTCATATTCAAAAGAGCAGGCTTCCAAGATCTGCTGATAGTCATCTAGAAACCGCAAGATATCTAAGCCTTCAAATGATAGGACCTATAATTTCATAATAAGAGCTGATGACTCACCCAATGGCATTCCTCTCATACAGACTGTCAAATGCCTATAGTCTCAGGGCCATTTGCAAAAGCATCCTAATTTACATGGCTTAGTCTCCAAGTCAATCATAATGATAGAACAAACTTCCAAACAAGCCAAAATACAACCCAGGGTCTTGTTAAAACAGACAAGTAAGTATTGACAGTTGAAAAAGAAATATTCTACTACTTTTCAAAGAATTTCCACATATTTCCCTTTATATGTTTACCAATAAAAAAGGTAATTAATAAGAGATTATAGACACAGCAATCTCTCAATTTGGCATAAAGTTATATGTCTAGAGCCCACTTAGTTATAGGCACCATGACTTTTTAGGACATAAAAGATTATAGCTTCATAGAACCTAAAATATTCATTATGTTTGTATGATTTAAAGCATCAATGAAGGAGGAAAAGGTAATTTTTTGATGTGGTTGAATGTAGCTTTAAAGGAAGTCTTTAAGCCAGGTGTAGTGGCACACCCAATACCAGCACTCAAGAAGCTAAAGTACAAAGATCCCAAGTTTGAGGCCAGTCTGAGCTATAGTAGTGAGATAGTGAAAAACAGTATCAGAAAAAAAAGAAAGAAAAAAGGAAATATATTTTAAACCTTTAGAAACTGCTGTGGAGTAGAAAGCTAGAATGGATTAGGAGCTGAGGCTCCAAGCTCAGTGGTTCCAACTTTCACAGAATGAATATACAGTACTAAGTTCAATCTCTAACAAGGTTCAAGTTGGGGGATAGGGAGAGGTTGATTTGAGGTAGTCTTGACAATTCTCTGAGCTAGGAAGATGGATCAGTGGATAAAAAGCTTGCCTCCCATATGTTAAGACCTAAGCTCAGATACCCATAACTCAAGTTCAGTGAGGTAGTACGCATATGTAATCGCAGCTACAGGAGGAAACAGGAGGTAGAGACAGACAACCTCCCCAAGGCCACCTGGGAATTCAAAGGGCAGCTAGCCTGGTGGTATACACAATAGCTGTGAACAACAGAGATCTCATCACAAACAGGGTAAGGGCCAACACTTGAAATTGTCTTCTGACCTCTACACATGAACTATGGCAAGCGCGTGCTAGTACTCACACAGGAACAGACACAATCATACACATCACAGACACAAAGAATGGACTGACCAGCTTGAGGAGAAGCTAAGATTGTTTATCTTGTTCATTTATGATATGTCCAACTTCGCCAGACCATATAAACTGCTAAAATACAAATGAAGATGTCTCTGGAAAGCATTGACTTTACAGCAGCCACAAGGCGAGATGGCAATAAAAGAAGTTAGTAACAGCTGTACACTGGAATAACCAGTCATAAAAAGCAGAAGGAGCAAAGGGAGGAAGCAGGAACAAAACCACGGAGCCCTGACACGAAGGTCGTGGATTCTCTAACACATGCGCAGATCAGTTGTTATATGAAGCAGTTTCATACTTTTATTAGACTACTTTGTGACCTGAAGAATACACACTTACAATGAGGAAGCACTCATGATTTCCAAAAGAACCTTTCCTGTTGGATAACAGATGAGCACTGCTCCATACACCTGAGGTTAATAGCGTGGTAGTTCTTTTAAGGCTAACCCACACCATAAAGACACTATAAATTTAAGTAGGGTTTGAAAAACTAATACACATGTACAGAGGATATGGCTGTGCTTGGGGAGAACACATGTGAACAAACTCTACCACATAGAGGGCAACGAAGATGATTTCTCTAATTGGAAAAGGCTCCTTAGAACCTTAGTTGTTCTTGTTAGCTGGCAAACCTGATCAGAGCTGCAGTGCCAGCAGACCAGAAATGAAACACATGGACATTCTGGAGCCAAGAATGTGTGTGATTTCCTACCTAAAATTAGCCATGCCTATTTCACCACAGCTGGGTTGGGCTGGGCTCCTCTATTTTAAGGTGTGCAGAGCCAAATGACTTAAGAGTATGTAACTGCTGACTAGTCAGAAACTTTCCTCCCAGGTTCCAGGATGGCTAACTGGTTTCCACAAAACCCCACTTAATGGCCTTGGCATTTGGAAAGGCTAAGTATCTTGCTAATGAACCATGTGCTATAAACAGACATGAAGACATACCATGCACTGAATAAGAGAAAGGAGATGCCTTCGTTTTTGAGTCAAAAGGCATATGCCAGTCCCAAACACAGAGACACTATAGCAAAAGTGATGAAAACTAGACAAAAGTCACAAAAAGTAACTATTTGTTTTTCCATAAAATTGTATAAGTCTGACCATGACAACCTCCCAAGTTATGCCACCCATGTTTACCTCCCCAAGCACTGTGCAACTGGAATAAACCCAACCGAAGGGGCTACTCAGTCTACACACTGCACTCCAGAAACAGCAGAAGGGACTGGTGAAGGTCCCTTCGGTACTAGCAGGAGAATTTGCTTTATCTTCTGTTTAATGGTGCTGATGTTTCAAATACAGATGAAAGCAAATGAAAAGGCATGCCTTCCCACCATGAACAAGGGCAGTTCTGTCAACAGGGAATAAAACTGAGCTGTAAGTTGAAATTCAAGCTGCACAGATAACATCCGTGATTTCTACAACCCCAAAGCAAAGACCTAGCATCTATTTTATTACTAGCAATTTGAGATACTGGAATAGACATCTGGCATTATCAGGTTCCTGATACTATCATGCTCTAGCAGAACACAGTATTAACACTTATTTTGACACACCCGATTACATTAGGAGTAAAGGAACATACATACCTTCATTTTCAGAGGCATGACACTTCACTTTCAATACCAAGTCAAAAGTTCTTTCTGGATTTTCCCTAAAATAAAAAGAATCTTATTATATTTACTTCGCACAGAAAATAGCCATTATCTATAAAGCTTCTATACAAAAATGTTTCCATACATGTGGGGTTTTACAGTGCTAAAGATTGAACTCAGAGCCTGTTCATGCTAAAAACTCCATCCCTATAATATACTGACTTCATTTGTTTGTTTGTTTGTTTGTTTGTTATTCGGGACAGGGTTTCTCTGTGTAGCTTTTGTTGTCCTGAAACTTACTCTGTAGATCAGGCTGGCCTCAAACTCAGAGATCTGCCTGCCTCTGCCTCCCAAGTGTACCACCACCTCTAAATCTAATCCTGTTTCTGCCTCAGCATACTCTGTGATACTCCCTGGCTAGGTAGCAGAAATATAAATGAAAATGTTTTATCAGTTTGATAAGAGTTATAACTCAGACTTTGGAGTTCTGAATCAGGGGGCAAAGTGTGTCAGCTGTAAGAATGCTTTCTTACCTATAGGGCACCCTGCCCACCTCACAGAGTAACAGCCAATCAATATGGGAGAGAAGGTTGTAGAATAGTATGTTCACCCAATTGAATCAAAACTAAAAAAAAAAAAAAAAAACAGTATGCCTTTCAGCATCTTCTCACGTTGTCACAGATCTAACATAGGCTGTCCTGCTTTCTCCAAAGAACCTGCCATAACACAGAGGATGAAAATTTGATTCCTGCTGCATTCCAGACTCACAGAAAAGTGCTCCATAGATAGGATATTTTGCACAGGCCTTCCTAAGATGTTCTTTATTATACTCGAGCATGTTCAAAATAGAGAACTGGTCACACACTCCAAAGTAACAAAACCTAACAAAAATTATTTTCTTTATGTCAATTATTTTTAAGGAATTTGGCCATTTGGCCTACTCATTAAATCCCCCACGGAGAACAGAAAGTTTGTTTCACTTCCTTTAGAAGTACTAATTTTGGGTTATTGTTTTTTCTTCCTAATTTCTTATACTACATGCTTAACCTGTTTATTTGCTACATTTCAAAAGGCAGACTGAAATATACTGAGATACTTAAAGTAAACAAAAGTCTGATATTGTAATGTTTCTTTCCATCAGAAGGTATAAGATTAAGTCTGGGATGTAGCTCACCAGTACACAGTATCTGCCCTAGAGTGCTTGAAGCCTTGGGTTTGACCATAATGGGAGGGAAAGGCAGGGGAACTGTTAAAGGAAAAGACATCACAATGCAAAAAAGTCATGATGTATATTACTTCTGTTAAGACTAGTGCCTTTATACACTAGCTTTTTAAATACATCCTTTAAGAGATTAATGCTACCTCTCACTACTAAACATTGATTTTAAATATTTGCATATATGTGTTACTTGTAATATAATTATATTACATGACATTCTTTAGAACTGAAGGGAAAGACAACCCATACAAATTAATTTATAAATATCCACTTCTCCACTTCCTCATCCCACCCACTATTAACTTGTTTCATGAGCATAAAATGGGCTCCGGCAATCTTTTTTTTTTTCTTAGTTCCCTCATAGTACAATTAATTGTCTGAAGAGTAAGTTTTTTTTTTAATTACCCTGCACTCTATAGTGCCAAATATTAAAGGAAATATTCTAAAATGTGTAACATTTCTATTTTCATAAGATAGTTAGAATGTGTCTTAGGTAGATAAAATACGGAATCGGTTATACTTCTCTACAATCTACAGGGCCTTTCAATGTGGCTCTAATACACAGAGAGGTAGAACGGAATGGGAGGGGACGGTCAAAGAAGATGAGATTTCTTCACAAAGTAAAGTTTCCAGAGAAAAAAAGCAGCAAATGCCCATCTCTAAGACACCTCCAAGCAGAGCCGCCACCGTTATTCAAAATGCTTTTTACATACTCCCTACAAGTAAAATGGCCAATGGTGAAAAGCCACCTTAGTGCACATACCACTGTGCTAGCAGCACACACGCAGCGGCTGCATAAACAAACAGCGCTTTCATTTTAAACGAAGGGTAAGCATCAGAAAGCAACTCGGACCACCCTGAAAAATAACCCTAAAGGGAGCAACGGCTATCCTAACGCCGGGGCAGCGGTTCCCTAACCACCGCTCACGGAGCCGCCCGTCCGCCCGCCGCGGCGCACGGCCGGCCGGGCCCAGGGAAGCCGGGTCGCCGGGCGAGCAGGCTTTGCGGCCTAGCGCCGACCGCCGCGCAGCGGGCCGTACCGGGCAGGCCGCACCCGGGACCGCGGAGGCCTGGCCCCGCCGCCGCTCACCTGGTCCTGCGGTCCATGGTCACATGTCGCTGCGGGGCCACCGTCGCCCCGCGCCTGCACGCCCGCACGCCGTCCGGGACGCGCTGCTCAGAGCCGCGGCCGGCCCACGGCGCCCTCCGCGGCCTCGCGGGGACAGCACCGCGGCGACGCCGCCCCCGCCCCCGCCCCCGCCTCTCGGTTCCCGCGACCCGGCCGCCGGCGGCTCCGCCACCTTCCGCGAACCAGGAAGTCGCCGGGAGGGGGAGGGGGCGCACCGGGACGCGCCCTGCGGCTGCACCTGGCCGCTCGGGCCCGGGGCAGGACCTGCCCTCCTGCTGTCCTGGGCACTGGCTCCTGCTGTCCTCGTCTTGGAAAAGCGCTTCTGCCCCGGGGTTCCCACATCACGACTCCCATTCATTGCAAATTGGGAGCTCAAATGGATGCTCAGGCCTCCGCCCCACTCCTGCCCCTGGCTTGGGTAGTGCTCTCTGAAACCCAGAGCCGCCCCCTCCTGATTCAGGAATGTTCAGACTTATGCACCTGCTAAACAGCTCTGCCAAACAGCTCAAGGATAGGCTCCAGTTGCCTGCACAAATGGGAAACACATTCCTGCCGCAGACACTGACGCATAGCCAGGGACTTAACTTTTAAACACACAGTGGCAGGCCCCCTAGAGTGTCGTTCTAGGGCAGCTGAGAGGGCACCACGAAGGATGGAGGAGGTGGAACCTGATTTCCAGAACTCCGGAGCATGTGTTTCTGTAAGCAGTGATAAACACTGGCTCGGTGTTTTCAACACCTAAGCTACGGGTACCTTAAACCAGAGCAGGAGACTGGATCTGAGATAAAGGAAGCAGTGGACAGTGGCCAAGTTGGAATCTAACCAAGCTCGGCTGTTGCTGATTCTTACTGTGGCTTCTGATTGCCTCGTCTGCTGCTGTCTCAAATTCGGTATCTACTAAGAAGACATTTAGAAAGATTTATGGTAGACATTCAAAACATTGTCCAGGACTGAAGAGTCACACAGACTCCCTAGGGACTGGGGAAGGCTTTCTCCCAGCTAGCATTCACCCTTGACAAGGTTAGAGAGATTGTCATGTAGGAAGGGTTACTTCAGACTGTATCCACACAGAAAGTAAGAGAATGAGGAAACAAAAATGGTATGAATGTGGTATGAATCACGACACATAAAAGTCAGACAAGGAGCCTTGGAAAATAAAGACTAGATTTGATCTTAAACATTCCTGTCCAAAATGGTGTTGCCCCATCAACATAGTAAGACATAGTCTACAGTCACAAACCTATTCAAAAAATGAGCTCCCAATGTAATTGAAAAGCAAAGCAAAAAGGTGCAGTATCAGTGTATACTGTGTTGTCACAGCTTGACTTGGTGTGGGATGCTTAATTTCAGTTTCTTGCTACCTACATTTGTAAAATGGGAATTATGACTTGCCTATCACATGAGGACTGTGTTGTTCAAGTTTTAAAATGTTATGCCTCTTGTGAGACATTTGGAGAAATCAGTGAATTTCAGTTTCACAATTAGGCCGAATATACCATGTTTACATGGATTTCCCATATAAAGTTTTTTTTTGCTGCCTAACACGTTAGCTTACTCCAAAGACTTGAAATAAATTCTGTAACTAAAAAACACTTCTGCCCCAAGTGTGACTGAGATGTGTGAGCTTCTCCTTTCTTATAATTAATTCTTCTCCAAAGAAAACAATCCTGCCTAGGGTGACTGTGCCATGAATTCTTAGTCTGGGGTGAGAAAATAGTAACAAATGTTTTCACTATCCATTGTTGGGATTATGTAAAGTGACAGTTCCTTTGTAACGTTACTTATTCAAGCCATACTAAGTATGAAGACAAAAATGCCACATATTTTTATTATGTATCAATCACATTTGAGGCCAACTACACTAATTTGATATTATTGAGCTTAATAAATAAACACAGACAGATAAGGTTTAAATACATAGTTTATCAAAAATTACTGGAGAAAGAAGTTAGAATAAACCTGTCATGGTGGTATGTTTATTGAAATCAATGATATAAGTTTAGTAATGTTTGCTTCATATAAAACAACATTACTAACAGAGAAGTTTATAGAAGGCAAATTTTCAAATTGGTTATTACATTCTCCCAAGATCATATTTTAGCAATAATATTTTCTATTTAACAATAACATTTTTAGAACCATAGTGACTCAAGAACATGGTATTATAATAGCATTGGTAAGAGCACATAACGGGACCAGACTATATATCAGTGGTAGAGCAGTTGCCCACCATCTACAAGGTTCTAGTTTGATCCCTAGCCCAGGAAGAAAAGAAAAATGAAAAACATATTCTTCAGCTCATGAGTGTGATAGTCTAAGAATATGATCTTGATGATGAATATGGTGATGTCTATTACTAAGTTGGTTTCGGCCTTGACACAATTCAATAATGGGAGAGATGAATTAAGATACCCTAACATGTTCATAGTACTATCTATTTCAACTTCCACTTCTGTCATTTTTTGCTTTATATAGTTTGTGATTATGTTATAATAGATATTCCAATTTATGAGCACTGAGCCTATCTGGTAAATCAAACCACTTCCTATACATTATGACTTTCTTACCTTCAATGCTTGGTTTTTGTTGTTGTTGGGGATTTTGTTTGTTTGGTTGGTTGGTTAGTTGGTTTGGGGCTGTGTTTTGTTCTGTTTGGTTAATAGTATTTTCCTGGTAGTAGAATAGCTCTTTTGATATTTTTACATAGAAACTTTCCAAACCATTATATTCTAGCTTTTTCTTCAATAGCTGATTTTGCCCATTTTCCTCAAGCTACACTCAAATGGCCTCTGGCTAATGCTATTACCTACTGATGATGTGAAAGAATCCAAGTCTGGTGCAAGTCTGGTTTGTCTTGTGAGCCAGCTCCTCTGTTTCTCCAAGTATGGATAACCACAGAGATAAACACTTACTGTGCCTTCAAAGTGAAATGTTACTAGTTTTCAGGAGTACTCCTTCCCAGTCTCTTCCCTCTGGGAAGAAGAAAGAGGACTCTCAAAAGTATTTAGAAAATAATCCTATCACTAATGCTTTAGGTATAATAAAGTCCAAGTATCTTGACTCTTAGAATAAGTATCTATTATATTTGTTGACAAATTGTATTTATTTTTGCCACTTAATGTGCTTCCCATTCATTTTTTTCTTTTCTATGTTCCTTCCCAGTTTGTTTGTTTGTTTTTTTTAATTTCATGTTTTCATTTCTGGCCTCCTTCTGCTCTAACCTAAAGCGGGGAAGTAATGGACTCTCTATTTATTAACTAGCCACATGCTGTCTGTGGGCCTCATCAGTTTATATCAAAGTCTGAGGTTTCAAATAATTAACTTAGAATCCAGTTTTTAGAGGCACCCTGCTCAACTGTAGCCAGCACATTTCCAATCAGCCATTCCCTAGAATCTAACTCTACATGGCTTCCTCTTAAGATTAGGTTAAATTTATCAATAACATTCTAATCCTCATTCATTATGAAAAAATTCAACAAAATATCCAACAAGTCAAATTTCTTAAGAAAATATCCTTAAAAATATGATTTCTTCTTGACTGAATATGATGACCCGTTCCATTTCACTTTAGCACAGAAAGGCAGAGATAGGTGGATCTCTGAGTCTGAGACCAGGCAGACTACATGGTGAGACCCTGTATCATTTTTTAAAATGTTTTAGCTTGAGTTTTAATGTTAACTGAGACAATGTTAACAAGGAAAACATTCTTCTAGTGTTCGCTATATAGTCTACAGCAATAGCAAACATTTGAATTTAAAGGTAAAGTCTCCTTCAACAAAACGTGTGTACTATTGAAATAGAAGCCAGAAGGGAAAATGAAGGAGCAGTATCTTTCCCAAGAACCTACTTTCTGTGTTGATTCAAAAGTCTAATTCAAAGATACCTTCCAGTTTGTAAACAAAAATGCCACAGACAAGTCTTGATACCTTTATTACCAAAACTGAACATAAGCAAATAATCATCCGTTTCAAATGGTGAATCATATTTGTTTTGCTGTTAAGCTCTTAATAAGAATATTATCAAAAACCACATAATGAAACATCTTTCTTTCCCCTTCTCCAACCAATTTATCCCAAGTTGTAAACTAAATTCTCTTACCTCTGACCAGCTTCTGCTAGTTCACATTTATCTTCATTCCTCTGCCTGCCAGACATTGGAAAACTTCAAGCGGTCCTTGAAATTGAGAGCAGAGACTATTGGCAGGAGAGTAGGACTAGAAGACTGTAATCAGAGGACTTGGATTTTCTTCAGGGACTCTGAAAAAGCTCTCTTGAACTTCAAGAAGCAGTGCAATGTTTGTGTAACCCTGTGCACTGCATGGGAAGCAAGCTCCTGACCGCACCCACAAGATACTCCACATAAATAAAACATCATCCTTGTGTGACAGCCCTGCTCACACCCATTGAATGCTTCAGTAGAATGAGTAATCACATCCAAAGAACAAGGTCATTAGAATTTACTGGAAGGACTCTAATATGATACTGGCGATCCAACAAAATCAACAACCTCTATAAACAACCCTAATCCTGATGTAAAAGAACATTCAAAAAAAAAAATCCTGCTTGCCAAGTTCTTTCTTCCTAAAATACAGTCACTAGACGAACATGACATGCATAACCATACACAACGGGCTCAGGGGTGTGGAGAGATGCAGCATGCCAGCCATTAGAACTCAGTCAAATAAAGAAACACCAGGGAAAACCCACAATTCTACAGCACAAGGTTTCTTGAAGGCTAAAGAGATTGACAATCTCAACATATTTAATGGCTCTCTCCCTCATTTCTTTCTACTTCAAATCAGACCTGATAAAAATTAAAATTAAGGGTTCTCTTGGGTGCTAAAAATATGGGCATCACCTCACCTCCTTACTGTCATCAGTTGCCTGTTATCTGGTGTCTGGTAGGGCAAGAACACTGCTTGTAACCATCTGTGGGAAGGCAGAAGAAGCTAGCCAAGATCTCAATTCCATGTGAATACATTTATTTTCTTTGTGAAAAGGCACTGTCTCACACACCTTTCTCC